TATGGTACTGCGAAATTGTTGGTGTTGGGAAGAGAACTTTAATTGGGGTATAATCATCAGAATTCAAATGGAATGTCGCTGATGATGTGGCTGTCACGTGCAATGACTCAACAGAGGATGTTGTCATGTGAAACAGTGAGGCTGCGTCACTGGATGAATGGGAAGAAGAATAGTGACTGAAAGGGGGGAACATTGGAGGAGGACCAGGAGGAGGAAGCATGTATGATGAGGAAGAATAATAGACAGGAATCTGTGAGGAAGGAGATGGTAAAATAGATGAGATACCCATGACAACGGGTAGAGCAGAGAGTGATGCTGATGACAAACTTTGAGAAGAGAATGTTGATGAAAGCTGTATGTTTGAGATGGGGGATGATTCTCTTGAGGTGCTCAAACGTAATGTCCCAGGTGATGAGGAAGAAACCTCTTCTGGAACTTTTGATGATGGAGATAACATAATAGATGAAGATGGTTCAATTGGAAAATCTGAACTTGACTTTTCAGCTACTGAACTAGGAACTGGTGATGGGTACTCAGAAGACAAAGTAGATAGTGACAGTGACATTGATGGCAAGAAATAATTCAAGGAGTCAGTTACCATAGCAACTGTCGATGCTGTTCGAATCACATCTGCTTCGGCGGAAGAGTGCAAGGAAGGGTTCCAAGGTGATTCCAAGAATATGGACGAAGTAGTAGGCTCGGCTGATGATGATAGAACAAGCAGAGAAATGGAAGGAGTAGTAGCCTGAGCTGATGATGAAGAGACAACAGGGGAAATGGAAGGAGTTGTGGCCTCAGCTGAAACAGAAAAGACAAGCGGATCTATTGAATAAGAATGCGTAGGAGTTGATTGTGAGGACGAGGCCAAAGTTTCTGAACTAGTAGGCTGAATGAGTTGACTTGATGAATCTGGAAGAGAAAAGAAAAGCAAAAACTTGCATTAGCAACTGTGCAGGCTACTCTGAGAATATCTGGATAATGATCTTATATTACTTTTTTATTCTACATTAAATTACTGCACCACATGAAACAAATAAGTATCAATGTGTGGAATTTACATGTACTTGAAGAAGGACTTAATTTGATCGCCATTAATACAAGGTACTCCTGGAACAAACACAATTTCTGAATGCACAAAGCTGTAGTTTCAGTTTCCATTTACTTAATTGGAAAATAAAGGCTTAGCCATTTGATAAATTTCTTGCAAACTGAGAGTTTGTAGGGTACATGTACTTTAAATCTTTTTTTATTGATTGATAAAAGTACACAAGATAATTATTCAAATTACAATATGTTGTGTAATATTAGCTGGGGACAGTTTTAAGCAAGGCAGTGGAAATTTAATCCATCTTTCATGGTTAAAGTACATGTTTGTTGGTCCCTTGCCGTGGACAATAACACTGAGGATGATTTTTCTCATTCATTTTGTCTATCTACAGAGGTTTTCTGCATAGAGGTGTTAACTGAAAACATAGATCAATATAAAGTAATGGCAAATATTGAACAGTAATTGGATATCCCTAACTAACATCTGGGTCTCACTAATTGTTAATGTCTTTATTTTCCACGCATTTATTTCTATGTTTAAAGCAATACATGTATGTATTTCAGTCAAGCTTTCACCATTCGTGGTTGGAATTCTATAGTGAATGGTAAATTTACTCTGTAAATTATCGTGTTGATTCATTGCTCACATTCCTACTAAAACCCAGGAAGTTCTCATTATGTCACTCTCAATGCGATTAAATGTCTGCAAACTGCAAACACATTTCAGAAAGTACATTTATATACTTTTACATGTACATGTAGGCATATTTTTTTGTTGAATTATTACATAAGTTCCATAAGTATAATGTCTCTCAACACAGGAGTGAATGTAAACCTGTTGTGGAATTATTGGTACTTAACCCAGGTATGCATGTACAAGTACATGTATACACCCATGTATGCTACTGGGGAGTTGAGTTGCCTAATATGGTTGACTCACTATATATAGCAAATAAACCACAATAAAAATTTGCAACATGCTTGAGCGTCCACAATAAAAATTTACAACATGCTTGAGCGTGACGTTGTCAAGAAATTGGGTTTTATATAAATGAGGGCATTATTACAATATATTATATACAAAAATGTATATTACTATTATTAGAACAATGTGCATGCCAATTACATAAGGCCAAAACTCAAAATCATAATAGACTTTAATCTCTTTAATCATGGTGTATTGTTATTTTATTGGATATGCTCTTGTAATAGAGCAAATACTAAAGTTCTATAGATTAATAGTGTAGTCACATGTCTAGCACCAGATTTATATTGTGTATTATAAATTGCAGTGATATTAAATTCTTATATATGCTATTTCCTTTGATGTGCAACATTATTTATCAAGCAAAGTATGCTACAAATAGTTATGCAAATTAGGCTAATTAATATGCACATACATGTGGTAATCAGTTTTTACACTATTTTGAATCAATAAATTGGTGGTTTTGAATTACAATAAAATAAATTACAAGTAAATCCTGATTGAGAGCATACAATATATGATACAAATGTAGAAGGAAAAATTGTCCATATCTCTGCTTAGCAGTGGCATGGATTCTACACGTACTAGTTTTAAAAAAATATTTCCAAATCCAATACTGGATTTTATTTCATTACAATTCTGAATATCATAATTTTATTGTTTTGTTTACTATAATTATTATATACATTTATTTTTACTCAAATTTCTATACTAGTGTTGTCATTATTATTATTATTATTTTAAATATTGCTAAATTTACTTAAGATTTTAACAAGCAAACAAATAAACTCGAATTGTATATACATTGTAGTCTAACAGTAATACAAGTTGGAGGTGTGAAAATATTTCATTATCAGCTAGAATTTGAATGCTTGAAACTTGTTCTAAAATAAAAAGCAATCATTTGAATAAGCATACAATGTATACTGCATTAACACTATGTCCATGAATTCCTTAAACTGTAAACTCTTTTTAAACTTTTGGAGACAACCCCTTAATAAGGCACCCCCTCAACTCATTACTACTTAGTGCATAATTTACAACTGGAATGGACAGGATTACTGCGTGATCTGTTTCGCTCGCACTCTGTGATCAACCTGCAGCACCTTTTCGCACTTCTAATATACGTATGTTTATCGACTCCATTCATCACCGTCTCAATTTGTTCAGAATGAGAGAAACAGAGCAATAAAATGTAAGCGTATTACGTCAGGTGTGGTTTAGGTGGCAGCCTAGCAACTTTACAACATGAATACACACATATATATTACATTGTTGCGGCAACATGGTAAGATTCAATATACACTAACGTCATTGGGGGAGATTAGAATTGAATCCAAGACTTCCATTAGGGATGATATCTTAATGGTATCTTGAGTGCGTGTCTTTCTATCAAATTACTTGTATTTATTAACTGCTAAGCTTTTCAATACAGACACCCATGCAATTTGAGATACCTATCCATATTAAGTGGGAAATGTGATTTATAGAAAAAAATTCTACTCGGCTTTGAACTGATGTTGGTTAATTCATCCTAAGTGTTCTTGAAATACACTTGGATTGATAGTGACACAAACACGAGAGATAATATAGTTCAGAGAGATATATTCATTAGGGCTCTTATTAGAATTGCTTTTGTTTGTAACCATGGCTACATACTTGCTTAATGTATATCACCATTAAACAATGTCTTTTTGTCGTATTTGTAGAAAAAAATCAATCTTGATATGTACAAAGGGTATACAGCCCTGCAGTGCTAGGAGTGATTTGTAAGTACAACATTGTACAAGATCAAAACAGATCTTCACACTGAGCCACCCATTTAATGAGATCATTTTTCATTTATAATCAGATATTTCATTCTGCTACATACATGTACACATTATTCGACCTAGCTGAGTGATTGCTTGTGATATCACAGCCTACAATACAAATTCAAATGTATATTATCAGAGTGTTCTCCCTGCATTTGAAAGTGCTTTGTAGCATGTGTAACTTTTTCCTCTATTAGTATTGCATATGCTTTTTTTAGTAAATGACTATGTAGGTTTATGTTCCAGATAAGTCATATTTTAACAATTAGTAATCAATAAAGTTTTTTTTTTTTATTTATATGCTTCTATCAGAAATGTATTTAATATCTTTATATCATTAAATTCACTGAAGTTTGAATGATAAATTACCTTATGCCAAACAATTGTACTTAAAATTACACTGATGCAACACTGATGATCAAACGTTTTAAACAATTCCAAAATAGGAATTCAATATCACTGCAATTTATAATACACAATATAAATCTTGCGCTAGACATGTGATTACACCATTACAATGTAATCTATATGCATTTTCAATAAAACTTTAGTATTTGCTCTATTACAAGAGCATATCCAATAAAGTGCATATACAGTACACATTTATGCAAAATTGCATTTAATATATGGTTATTTTGTCCATGTATGCAATGCACGCACTAATAGAGCAATATAGTGATATTGTAAGAGACTCCAGACTCAATTTAAGCCAAATTTTCAAGTGTATGGAAGTGTGGTCTTATAGAAGACTAATTTCCGAAAAACGATATTTTATAAATTCCAATGTCTAGACCTATTAACCCCTCAATATAACAGGAAGTTCAGATTTTTAAGCAAACAGAATGAAGTGATCTGAGATATACTGAAACATGATAATTGGACACAATTGGACAGATGAACAGAAATCATTCACCTACACTACTGGTATGTGTTAAATAAAACAAGCAGCCTGACGACTGAGCTAGCTCCACTGTTAGGAATGCGCATTTCAATTAAAGAACTGAAGATATTATTAGAAAATGAACAAATCTGAGAGAGGTCTACTTGTAGTAGCTATACATATAATAGCAAAGTAATCAGTTTTTAACAAAAAATCAAAAATATTACTTTTTACCAAAAATGACAAAAATATTCATCAAAATTAGAGAATTAACAATATCATCGTGTATTGAACAAATCTGAAAGAGGTCTACCTGAGGTACCAATATGTATAATATCAAAGTAATTAGACTTTATTAGAATTAGAAGTTGAAATTATCACTTTCTACCAATAATTTATTTATTTACTTGCAAAGACCTACGGGCACAAGTCCTATTTACAGGCTCTTCACTCAGACATACATCAAAATACAATAACATTCAAAAGTATAATATAAAATACATATACATTTAAAATATTTGAATTTTCAAGAATCAACTGATGTGCCTTAGATTTAAAATGACTCAAATTACTAAATATATCAAGTACTGAACCAGTCCGCAATAAATTATTGAAATTGTTCATGTATCTCACAAGTATATTTAAATATATTAATATATTAATACGACAGCGCGGTGGACGAAACACAGAGGTAAAACATAAAGTTTGATTTGGGACATAGGTGGTGCACTAGTTGGGAAATATGCTTCGCAAATTTCAAGTCTCAGAATAAAATATAAGATATACTTAACAATTTAGCACAACAGAACCACATAGACGTATTAATGCGAAACTTCCAAACACAAAATTGAAACAAATTTAATGTAATTTTCTCAATATGGAATTGCTCATACCATTAGGATCATCATGTGCCCCCCCCCCCCTCCCCACATCAGCTCAAAGCAAAATATTGCAGATTTCTGTATAACAGCATTGAGGAATAAAATCTGAAAAAAACTAATTCAACTGTTTATCTATTGAGTGAGAAAGATACTTAAATGAGTTTTGCAGTCAGTATTCTCAATGTAATTTCTGACAAGCTAAGTGAAGTGTTATTAAGATTTGTCAAAATTTTCAAATTTATCTTGACAAAAGCAAAGACTACACAAAATAACAGACAAGTGGCTACCCACAATTCATGTTGTTATTTTTCAAATTAACTTTTATCTAAAATGGCATTAAGAACCAAAACAAGACAAATTAGGATCACCCAGACCACAAGTCAACATGATCGCCCTCAAACAAGTACAAAATAAAACATCTCAAGAAATGACCACTAGAGGGCAGGATGAACTGGTCCCCGAGATTTGCAAAACAAAATTCTGAAAAACAAACAAGCATTTACTATTCATAAATATTTAATTGATTGTGCATTTAAACAGGGGACTTTGGAATAACATTAAAACAACAGCTACCGGTATAAAAAGTTTAAACAAACATGCAAGACTTCAATATGACTTCAATATGACTATCAACCATTGCTTTATTTAAATCCAAACATTCAATGATAAACTATATATCTTTTCAAAGCAGAAAACGGATATGAACACACCCTATAAATAATGGGCGAAAACATTCAAATCACATTTCCCATGATGCCTTGATGCAATTTAGGGTACAGGTAGTTTGGGCCACACTCCACTATTGACTATGTAGCTGTACATGCAATGCATGATGGGAGAGAACTTACCATTGAATATACTGACAACTACCGGGTATTATCACTTATTTAAATGAATGCCTTTTTTTTTTAAATGTTTTTTCATCTAATGTCACAAGCACAATTTTGAGATTTTATAACATTTTTTCGCCATTGAAACCAGTGAAAAAATGCAAACTTTTGCCACTTTCGATGACAATCTTTTTGCTTGAAAAATGGTTTAGTGACCCATAATAATAAAAGCAATAAGAAAATAACATATAAACTTTAATTCAATCTGAACCATCTTAATGAACCAGTGTCTCCCTCTCCTGAGGGATTACTTATTTTGGTGTTGGCTTACTGGGTCAAGTTTACACATTCATGAACCTGGTGTATAACCTCGACTACATGGAGGATTTATTAAGACATTGCTTGGCTTAACATTTTTTTTTCCTCCCAAATATATAAATGATGGAGTTTATTAATGCTAATTAAGAATATATACATGTAGACGTTACCAAACTTGTCTTTGAAAGTGACTGTTACAATAATGTTTTTTCAATACTTTAAGTTTTAAATAATTTTTTACCATTACCTTTTAAATTGATTTTGAAAAGAGAAAAAGCAGACCTGAAGCTAATTACATGAACTGCTCCAGTGGTGTAGTTTGCAAATAACTCAAATTACCATTACTCAAAACAATTACGGAGTCTCTAATAGGTAATATAACTAAAAGACACGTGTTGTAAAGCATGGTAAACCTTACCTTCAGGGGACACAGGCACAGAGGATTCTTGACACAATTTACTTCTGGGTGATATTTGCATGGAGGGGAGTAAACCACACCCACTGCCGTTGGTTACTTGCAGAAAATACTCCTTGTTTAATCCGTTGCACGTCTCCAGTGTTCTCTCACAGAAGCCACGACAGGGTAATATGGGTGGATCAGCTACCGACTGGCAGGGACGAAAATACCATCCGCATAAAAAGAATGTGATATCTTTTGCACATGCAGAGTTTGGTTGTTCTAGTTGTGGAAAACTGTTCAATAGGACGGTTTGATTTTGTCCTTGCGTGGTTGTGTTGTACGGTAGAACATCAAGGCAGACTGATATTTCTAAGTCTGTGCACTGCGTGGCAATCTCCATATCACCTGGAATGATAATTATAACATGGTTAGTCTGAATTTATCAATCTGATTGGCTAAACCAAAGTCTTATATCTGGCACTGGAATGCCTGTTATCTCGTCACAAACTGAATAAACTGGCTTAAATATCTAACCGAATCGGGATTGCACGACTGTGAACACTTTTCATAGTGATTGTGTGTGTATGATCAACAGGGAAACCTGGTACAAGTGCTAATATGAATTTATTATAATATTGTGCATTTTGTGAGAAAACTCCTTGTGAAGAATGTGCATGTTCATTGCAGCTCAGCATTTAAACTGAACATGTGATGTCATTGGTGTGACGCATCTGTCTCTGTCATCTCTTTTGTAAATCAGCGTAAATGCAGAGAATCACAACTACAAACATTGAAAGTAGTTTTTTATGGTCAGGTTTACTCTGCTAGTTTGTTGATATGCACAAAATTGTTGTCCGTTTGTCTTGTGCCCCTCCCATCTATGCATATGTTCAAATGGAGTGCATTTTAGACCTGGAATTTGAATACAAAATATAGAATGCGCACTACATGGTAGATAAATTCTCCTCAAAATGAATTAGAATGCCAGTTTACACAAATAAACGCTCTGTTATTATCTCCCGCCAAATATGCAAATTTTACCAATAACCTGCCTTTTATAACCTCTCAACGGTACTTATTAAGTTAAGTTATCACAGTTGAATGCAATGCCGTCAAAGTTTTTTATGAATTTTAAATTTTTGCACAAATTTCCACACACCAATGAACAGATTGTAATTAGCTACAAACGATAGATGGAAACGATTTGACCAATCGGAATGATTGTTATATATGCCACTTTGTTATTGGATATACAGATTCATGTGAGTGTTCAAATAGCCAATCACATCTCTTCATTTAGATTTTAATGAAATGCAAATTATATGTACCCCATTATTAAGTACTGTAAAATGACTAATTTTCGCTGGGTTTAAAATGTCGCTGATTTACCATTTCAGGCATATTCAGTGGGTTTTAAATTCACGGTTTTATCATTTAGATAATGTATTCTATGCTAAATTTTACATATTCACCGGGTTTTAATTTAGCGCAATTTCCAGTCAGCGAAATAAGCAAAATTAAAACCCAGTGAATAATTAACCCCTTTACAGTAGTACATGGAATAACAGAAATGTGTCTATCAACATAATCCAGTTACAATATTTTGATTTTACACGAGTGTTTATTGGAGACATGCTTTGAATAAATCTAACTGATTTGAGAGCTATTCTCAGGGAAAATATAAAAATTGGATTTTTTGGGGAAAAATCTTGAGATATTCATACATATACACATTACTTGCATATCATTTCCTTAAATTAAATAATATTGATAATTTTTTTAATTCTTTTCATTTCTAATGTTTCCATTCGCTCCAGCTTCTTTGTTTATCCTTTATGTATTTCTTATATTCACAAATAAAAAAATATGGAAAAAAAGGAGCAACAATCTACATTAAAAAGATTCTTTAGAGGAAATCTTATAACAGTAGATGCATATCTGTAAAAACTAGGGGGGTAAGTAACCGTTGCACAACAAGTATTTCAGCTATGTTAATCTCAAATATGGAACTGCTAAAGACATGAACAAAAGAAACACTGTATAAACCCCCAAATCCCCTTTTTCCTGTTTACAACATTCTAAACATGGTAATACTCATGGTTAAATGTAACCTATTCAATACCAGACTTTCTCGCTCAACTTTTCCTTCACTTTTCTCCTCATATTCTTCAATATTTCTGGAGATTTTCCTCAAATGTGGAGCCAACAGACAAAATTTTAGTCAATTTTAAAATTTGGACCCAAAAAATTTGGCTATTTTTGTCCCAATCTTCTGAAAGAAAGTGCAGACTATAAACAGGACTATTTGTGAATTTGTGCGTGATGAAAAGAGGGAAGTGGTGGTTAAAAGGTTAACAGTAACATGCCGACTGCTGGGGAAATCAGGTATGACTATTTACGACATTCCTTTGGCGTACACATTAGCAACAACTAGAAGTTTATGAATGACTGTCCCTAACAGAAAATGTACTGTATTTATTCTATTAGAAGCGCATATAAGCAAACATTTGTTGTATACCGAATCATTAAAATATGATTTATTTTGATTATAGAAACACAACTGCATGTGCTACAAATCGTGTAGATACAGTAATGTGATTTTTCTGCAAATTTCATAAATAAAGAAAAACCCCAAAACTGAGTCGCAGTTTATAACATGTTATTGGGTTTTTGTCAGAGCATTTACCCTGTGATGTTATGTTTAACACAAACTTCAATGTCAATCATTTTTGAAGAAAGACCTGACAGAATAAACATTTTTTGTATCTTTTGTTATTTTAGCTGTGTACTTTAATCTAATCCAAGCATGGTTGTGTTTATTTTGATATGTAGCTACGTACATGCAGGCCACATGTGTACACAAATCCAAACTTATTCAAGTATTATACAGTCATATTTTACATTGTTGTCTTCAGTCACATCAAAAATGTATTCAGTCAGTCAGTAATCAGTTTTGATTTTAAGTTTAGGAACATGTTGATATAAGATATTTAAAAAAAAAAATTTCAGGAAAATATACTCAGCCAATTTTTAATTGACAGAAACATGATTTAAAAAATCACTATTTTCATGACTTCATGTGACCAGGAACTAAAATTCACCTGAAGACAATGACATAATAACTACCAGTCATGAGCAAACTAAATGAACACAGGTGATTTTAAAATCATTATTGAAAACTGATTTTTTGCAACAATTATGTCTAATAGTCAGAGTACAAGTTTTATTCTTTGATCAAGACAGTAATAACAATCTTCAGCACTATTTGTTTAAATCCTAGTTTTCCAGCAAGCCATGCACCTACCTTCATTATCAGATTCTTCTGCATGGGATGGGCACAAACTACCAATAGCAGCCAACAATAGCAGATAGAAAAACAGCTGATACTGGTCCATACTGCAAGGATATCTACAGATATAAAACACAGACAGACACTATTAAAAATCAGTAGCCTAATCCAGAATATAGAAAGTTTATGAGATAGATTTATTTAACACAAATAATGGATATATACAAACATTGTAAAAAGCAGTCAACTGATCCCAAGTCATTTAATGGAATCTTTCCACTGACAGACAGACAGACAGACTGAGGTCAGCTGTTAAAAATGATGATGATGATTGGAAAAAATGTAGAAAATTGTTTCAGACAACTTCAGCTGTTTCTTTTAGTTTTAAGTAGCTTATTCATGTCAACACTAAAACACATAATGCATTCTCTGTGAAAAGTACAAGTACCTCCTTATTGGAAGCCTTGCTCACAAATGCTGATGGAGTGAAGGCTTTATCGTTTTGTAAGCATCAGTGGGTTTAACCTGCGTTCTGCTCATACATTTGTATTTAACTCAACTTTCATGTCTATTCATGTACTATTCCAATAATTTCTTATCTTAGAATTATTTTAGCTGTGCTGTTTACTATTGGATCTCCACAAGAAGGGATTGCTTTAACTCTAATATTTAGCTTGTTTATAGTGTCTCATTTCAAGATTCAACATGGAAGATTTGAGAATAGCGCTTTTAATCCAGCAAAACCAATCCTGGGTTGACGCTGGGTACGGGTATTGTAAAACCATTTATTTCACTTTTCATTTCACTATTTTGATATTTTGAGCATATTCATTGTGTTGTAATTTTACAAATTTGTCATGGAAACAACGAGTTTTTATTGTTATTTCACATGTTCATGTAGATTTAATTTAGCCAATTTTACTTATCAGCGAAAGTAGAGAAATTAAAATCCAGTTGTGAGTTTTATGTGTGCAGCATTTAATTGGGCAAGTAAATCAAACGTAACTTGTTTTAAATTTTATATGTTGATCAACTTTATTTGTGACCACTGTATGTAGCCACTCGAAGTGGCCACTCACAAATGGCCACTCAAGTAGGCCACTCAATGTGGCCACTCCATTTGGCCTCAGTGGTGGGAGTGATGTTTGAATTATCATGATAATTTTGCTGTTGAGTAAAAAATGCAATTTGCAATTTAATATATCCTTGTAATATATATATTTCAAATATTTTGACACATGATAAAGTTGAATATTTAGAGAAATATGATGAGATCTGCATACATGTACCATGTTAATTGGCCAAGATGATTGATGACATGAATAAGAAACGCAAAGATAATGGTCGTTACGAAATGGCATCTATGGCCAAGAAACACATCTAGGTGTAACAGGAGAGTTTTCTATGGTTTCTAATATTTTAAAAATGTCAAGAACAAAATAAAAACATTCACAGCTTTCTAAAAATGATTGTATAATGACTGTTCAATCAATCAAATATACAAGATAACACCCACACATTGGTAAATTGCTTCCCATGAACACATGCTGCAATCCCAGGTATTGAGAAATCTCTCTTTAATTCACAACACATTGCTCAAAAAAAAAAAATCTAAATTCTCTGTTAATAATTGATACCTGATTCTTTGAATATTCAAGACAAGTTACACAAACATTCTTTTAATAGATTTAACAATCTGTGCTTGGAATAACAGTTTCTTTGTGTTTCCAGTGTCTGAGCAGCAGGTGAAATTTAGAGGTAGTTTTGAAGTTGAAAGTAATTTGTAATATGATATGGTTGATGGTGTCTCTTATCTAGCTCACTGTTTAGATTGCTACCATATTTAACATAATTCACATCATCTCATTGAAATTCTATCTGGTGCACACCCTTTTAAGGTTAGCAGGTCAATGTATTTTATTTCATTGCCTGGTCCTTAGTTGTTTACCTAGAAGCATCTACATTATTTTAGTCTAAATTGAGACTTGATCTAATTACCTACTGATCTGCACAGGACTAAATATGCATGGTTCGATTTTTTTGTGTATGTTTTATGAAAAGCAATTCAAGTTTTCCTTTTCTGTGATTGTTTAGGAAATTTGCTGAAAAGCCAGAAAGTTTTTAGTAACTAGAGATTGCAGTTTATTATGAGTGTTTTTTTTCCAGTGATGCATCATGGGACATGACAGTATCCCATAATTTGAGGGCATGTTAACACTTGTACAGTTATCATGTAATAAAAAGATCCCTGAACCTATTAGGTTAACAAAGTAATTTTTTTATTAAATTCAGACTATTTTAGCAACAAGCAAGTGGTTTATAAAAATTGTCCAGCAAAGCTACCATATTTTGCCATATTAGTAACTCATGTACTTATATCTATAACAGACATGTCTATTGTTGTCTGTGGTCAAAGTCATACTTTAATGACACAGACAACTAATTCTTTGTTAATGTTTGCTTCTACGAGAGATATTTTATTGTATATGTACGCTTATACTGAAGTTTCAGACATCCATGACTGATGCTTGGTGTTCCCTTGAATGAATCTATTGAATATTAATTAAGGTAATTTCTAATAGGTGATTTCCCGTTCACTGCGAGAACTCATGGAAGACATGGACCCGAACGTCTGTGTCAATCATTGAATGAATGCTGATCATCGAAAAGGGAAATATTGTGTTGAGACACCCTAACTCAATCAAAATTTATCATCATCAAATATGTATATAGAACATTATTAAACAGGGAAATACTCCAAAATACTTTTGTGTTTGACGAACCCCACATGACGTTTGAATGACACTACGACAATATGACCTTTGTCATGTTTTCTTTTGTTAATGTGAATTATGAATATTAATACAAATTGAATGATTAATGTATTTCAGTGACCAATTTTAATTTTATGAATTTTAATATTTATTTTAAGTTGGACCTCTATCAATTCATACTAACCTTGTCTAGTGTTTTCTGAGGACTCTGAAGCAGAGGTCGATTTAGCTTATTAGCCATGTAAATGTATTCAGATGTCATGCATATATGTAATAGGAGATGGCTTTACTGGAACCAAGAAATGAAAAAATTGTATTCAGACCTTTTTGAAGAAGACTGTATGCATTAATCATTAAAAGGTATCAAAACAAATTTAATTATGCAAATATTTCGAGGGAAACAATCCAAGGTGATCCAGGAAAACTTTGTAGAAGCTTGCAGAAAAATCACTGATGAAAAGGAAGTGAAATGAATAGACTAAAAATGTAAACATAGCTCAACTATGGTGACCTTGCCTATTGTTATATATTTCCTTTATTATAGTTTGTTTCAATATGAATATGCATTATCATAATTAATTTTGAATACAAACAAGTTTTAGAATTGAAACAGCTGTGGGAAAGCAGTCTACCAAAAGTCTTTGATTAAGGTAGAAGCCTACTCATAAATTAAAATACCCAGAATTTATTCATTTTGCAATAAACTGAACTCCAAGGCAATATAAGGATATTGACCAAAAAAAAGTTGGGGGTCACCAGTCTTTTTTTCGAGAAATTGATGGTTGTATTTTAGTGGAAAGTCGCCATTTTGACACTATAATAACACTTTTACCACAGGTTTCTATGGCAGAGATATTATGCAATATCTCAAAATCTAACCTGGTGACATAGGCTGAAAAAATTATATATTGTTAATGATGGAGTACTTTTTGTTTTAGTGAATTATTTAAAAAATCTGGGTTTTAAAAAGTGTCAAAAAATGC